TTATTTTGCAATACAGAAAACAACAGCTATTCTAGCAAGAAGCCTATAAGAAAACACCGTTTTTTGTTTAAGTGGTGCATACAATAATTGTGCTTTGGGTCTGTTTTTCTAGGTTCATACGTCATTGGAAAAGAGCTTGATACATTGGTTGATGGGAATTAATTATTTATTTAGTCCATAAATGATAACAACAAATCATTAAAACAACATATTATTGTTTACTAAGAAAATACATTTATTATGACCTTACTAATGCTTTACGCTTACTTTGAACAGAAAAATAGGTCAACAATATGTTTTTACTCGGGACGTTAAAATTTTGATATTCACCAAAGCCAGACCCCCCAAACAATAAGTAACATCAAGATTTATTTTATATTATACAATATTTTAATAAAATATTTGATTTATTTCTTAGGCAATACCAATTGTTAATATACTTTTGGAGTTCAAAAGCTGGTAGAAAATTATTGCACATTAAATAATAGTATATTGTGTACTTATGGTCGAAAAATTCGATAACATAAATCAATAAGTGACAAAATTGTCTATCAAATAGATTTGTTATGACCTTACTAATGCTTTACGCTTGCTTTGAACAGAAAAATAGGTCAACAATATGTTTTTACTCGGGACGTCAAAATTTTGAAATTCTCCAAAGACCCCCAAACAATAAGCGACAAAATTAATTTTACCGTGATAATTTATACCGTGATAATCTGACTTGAGGATCTGTATAATAATAAATACAACATTTTGACTTATTTGGTTTTAATAATATCGGAAATATTTTAAATGTTGAAGAAATATTTTGTAAAACGCTAACCAAAATTTTTTTTTTCTAGAGATATATTTTACCCGTCTCTGGTGTTTTTTAGAAATATGAACGGTGTGTTATTATTCAAATAATATTGCCATTTGCGTCATACTTTAATACAACTGTTTCTATAAAGCTTGAATAACATTTGTTAAATATTGTATATTATATCCATTTAAATGTTATTCGACACATAATAGTTTCCAAACTAATTAATTGTAAATATTTTTAAAAAGAAAAACTAAAAATTAAAAATTATTTTAAAACATTTATAATATTATCTATAATATTTTTACTTTTGATATGTAAACCTCTTCCTTACTAAAAAGAAAATTATTCATAATTGGTCGTACTTAAAATTTAGGATAATATAGGGACACAAAAAATTTCTAGCGGGAAGAACTAAATAAATAATTGGCTCAACCAAATGATTACAGGAACAAATGTAAATTAGTAATTTCAACTACAAGTTCATTGTGACCCATTAATAACCAGACTTTTAGTTGGACCTACTATGTATTTTTGGAAGAGTTACTTATTTACTTAAATTGAAAGCTCTCACAAGGTACATCTTGTGCCTAATATATTTTGTCTTTTAACGGTTTAAACGGTCTATCAAATAGCTGAAATACTAAAAACCCACATTAGGTTATGAAAATTTCAGTGTATTAACAAAGTCAGGGTTTCTTAAATATAATTGAAATAATTATTTTACACTATTTTGTAAGCAACGTGAAAACACAACCTCATTTAATAGAGGTTTTGACTTGAGGTTGACTGTTAGTAATTAGTGTTTTTGACGCTGTTTAAAGTGTTTTAAAATAATAGACTATAATTTGCGTAAATACTTACAAGGAAATCTCAAACAAAAGTTTAGTAAAATAATGTGTTTATAAAATTGTTATATATTTGGTTTTGTACAGATGAAGTTAGCTTGGGTCATATACATTTTTAAACGTTAATGTGATATTATTACAATCAAACGCTTTGATGCGAATATGGAAGTAGTAAGAATCCATCAAAGTTTTAACCACCAAAGTCCAAACAAAGCACAATCAAAACCAGCACAGTCTGAACTAAGCAACGTCCAAACCAGCTCCTAGGAAAAAAGTGGGATGATACAATTTAAATCAACCCAGCGGTTTTAAAGTTAAAAAAAGATAAATAAAAACATCAGCTTTGCAATGAGTTAAAATTACTATGTAGAGAATAGACAAAAAAAAAATTATTTCTTATTAGGTTTTTATTAGTTTTGTATGGGTATACGACTTTTATAAACTATACATTTACGAGTATAAATTGTTTGTCAAGTGAAACTTAAAAAATTGAATTTTATGCATAGCTACTTGGGCAAGTACAGATAAATGTTAAATATAGTGTAAAACTATTAACTATATTGTTATCACCGCTAGGATTTGTGGATACAAATTGATATTAGTTGAAAAACACTCCAAATGACAAATACCTAATTGTTTTTGAAAAATATTTGAATCTACTACAAAAATACTAAAGTAGGTTTTTTTTTAATAATTACTAATAATATTGATCAATATACTTCAATAAACTTAAAATATAATAATTTTGTTCTAAAAAAAATTAGATAAGAAAAGGTGATTGTTATTAATTTTTAATTGTACAATCAGCACAAAACAATAAAAAATAATAGTCATATAAATATTAAATTATCGATTAAACTAAAACCTTTCACTTGTGTACGAGTAGCAGATAACAAACAGTCATTAATTTATTAAACATTGGTACTCGATTTAAGTATAGGAATAAATTAATGTTCCGAGTATTAATATTCTCATTTATCTGTGAAAATAAGTCTTAAAAGAAATCTTAACGAACCATACTTTGTAAATAGAGTTGTAGAAGCAAAAAAGTTTTTCAGCCGAGTCTGCAACCACGAAAGAGCATTTTCATGTCTCGTTGAAGTACCGAATAAATATAGATTAGGTGTGGAATTATAATTAAAAAAAAAAAAATTATATGGAGCTTCCAGTTACAGCATAAGGCCAAGGAGATTAAAAAATTATGTACAATCAAGTTTCTGGCTAAAATTGTAGTGTTTATTATCTGGCCAAAAGTAACTTAACATAGAGAATTAAACTATTTTGAATTTATTATTTAGTTCTAATTTAAACGTTGAACGTACAACATATCTCTTATCTCTTATCTTCTATATCTTACCCCAATCCCCTACCCACTATCTCCCGTCCCTATCACTCACCCCTATCTCCCACCCTATCCCTACTCCCTAATCTCACCCCTATCTCTCTACCCCCCTTATCTCCCACCCATATCTCCTGTCCCCAACCCCAATCACTAACCCTCAATCCCCTACCCCTATCACTCACCTCTACCCCTATCCCCTACCCACTATCTCCCGTCCCTATCACTCACCCCTATTCCCTACCCGTTCTGATATCTCATATCAGATAACAGCGTAACACTTTTTTCGTTACGTTTTTTTTCGGTTATTTGCCACAGCAATTCCACCCCATTCCCATTCCCACCCCCAACTTCATCTTCATCCCCATTTATTTTTTCGTTACGCCTTTTTGGCAACGCTTTTTAGGTAACGCTTTTTTGATAACGCTTTTATGGTAACGCTTTTGTCGGTTATGTGCCAGAGCTAAGACATGAAAATGTCAAAAATATACATTTATCAAACTTAGATCAAAACTAAAAATTGGCAACACAGAAAACGACAGTGCTTTTCCACGAAGCCTAGGTCTTAGACGAGATAGCTGAGTGCCATGTTAGTGGCGCAAACCCAGGAAGGCAAGGGACACTTCCCCCCCCCCACCCTTCACCCTTTATTTAGTAGGTATATTATATTTATTATAGTAATAATAAATAAATAATAAAATAAAAAATTTGAAGGTATGATTATGTAGTGTATGAAGGTACATTATTAAAATGTTATACGTACAATTCAAGGATTAGTGTTTGAATTATTGGGGGTCCTAATTTTGAGCCTGGTTGTAATAAAGTCCTCCTAGCATCCCTCTAGTTGCTCCTATAGCTTTGTCCTCCTCACACTCGGCACTGTTAATGTGGAACAATTTAAACTACTTACACCCTAAATATTAGGAAAACAAAATATATTGTAAGTTTTTAAAACGATCATTTTGGTACACCTCACTTTAAAATATAAAATGTTTGTGGTTAACGAATCAATTTAGAGTTTTTGTGTTAAAAAATTATATCGGGTTACTTCGTCCTTCTCCCCATTTAATAAATTCATCAAGCCACCATTTGTGTGTATTGTTTGATCTACTTTTTGTTTGCGCATGACCCTTAAAAAAGAGTCAGTTGTAACAAGCACTCGGACAGAGGTGTATTTACTTCGACCCCTAGGAGGGGAGGGGATAGAATAAAAAAAAGTTGTGGAAGGCATCAATGTCACATAATCGTATAAATTATTGATCACAACGTTTCTATCTCTAAGATGCCTTGTTCTTAGGAGCTGGAAACTGAGATGGACAGGGCATGTATGGAGGTCAGAAAGTCCAATGGGGTCGGCCACTAGACGGAAACTGGACACAAAGTGGCCAAGAGAACGGTCCAGACAGTGGTGGAGAGATAGGATCACCGAATATTTATTACTGTAGATAATAGATAACAATTGGCGAATGATATGGATAGATGGAGGCATTTAGTAGTTGTGGCAACGTACCTAAATGACCCGTAAACCGTCAACAATAAATAGACATTGTTCAGTTACACTGGGCGCAGTTTACATATAACCTTTTTCCACTTGATAAAAACTCGGGCGCAGTTTACATATGCCCTTTTTGAACCAAATTATAATCGGGGCGCAGTTTACCTAATATAAGGTAATTTGGGCGCAGTTTACGTATGCCCGACAAATCTGTCTTTTAGTATTTAACTGTTTCACTGACAATACTATTGAAAAATGTACAATAGCTAACTAACGTTCGTCTTAACTGGTTATTAAATAGGTTATAATATTCAATAATACTAGTTCCGCCATTATATTAATTTTATATTATGTTTTACTATAACCTTTTTAGGTTATTAACATAATATAAGGTGCCGAGGTAAAGGAAAGGACTAATTTGTATGCATCAAACACAAAACATTAAACATAAAAAATATGCAAACAATTATTTTATTACATGTATTATATTTATTAAATCTTCAGCAGTTACACAAATTAATTAAATAACCAATTGATTATTGACAACCGTTTGTTTCTTTACAAATGTATGTATGAAATGTTCATCTAATGTATACTTAATATTTCTTGTGCACAGTGTATTATTTTATTAAAAAAAATTGTGATATCTAAAACAAAAATAAATGTTAAAATTTGTACCTACTTAGCTTGCAAAAAAAAACAAAAATTACTAAAAACATAGCAAATTATTAGTATTCTCTATAACTATTATATTTTTCAAAATTTAAAGATTCTCTTGAATCGAGAGTAGAGTTTAGACATGAGGGTACATCTCCGGTTCTCCGAACAGCTTAAAATCATAACGCATTATTACCATATATTCATAAAAATCAATCGAGCCATGGCCTGAAAAAATGTTAATGTTAATTAATAATAATCCCACTGCAATGTTGTTCTTAAGTATTTACGGTCTAAATCCCTATTCGTGATAGATTGAATGAGTGTTTCTTTAATCTCTGCATCCGGATCGTCTGCTTCCGGATCGTCTGATTCCTCGATGACTGTTTCTTCTAAGGACTTTCCTGGAACATTTAGGACCGCTGTTTCAAGAAGGTTATTAACGTCTATACCGCCAGCTTGGTCCTTCACCAATTTATCAAAACTAACGTGAAAAAGTGCCATCTAAAAATTTCAAGAAACACATTTTATTTTTATAATATTTATAAGAAGCTCTAATATAAGGTAGAATGATCAATAACACTGATAAAGTAAAAATAATATTTCAACTATAGCTACTAACCGATATACAACCCCCCACCATGTTTACTATTTGTTCACACTTCATCCATTCAATTCGGGATGTTACTGTAAACAGTTTGTGGATAATTTACAAACAAAATTTATTAGATAGTTAAGTTTTTTACTACCGTTTAGACCAAAAAGATCTAGTATTTCTGAAATGTCATTCTCGTTTAGGAACAGTGCTTTAACTATTTCAGTTTTCTTTAAACCATTCACGATAGATTTCCCGGAATAAGTAATATTCTTGTTTGTGACTTTAGTATCCAAAAAACCTTTTGTCTAAAAAAAAAATATATAAGAAACGCATATTATGTCAATTTGATAACGACTTTTTTTGAATGACTAAGATGCAACAAATATTATACAAAATGATTCATTAAGTATAAATACACTCAAATTCGTATATTTTCTTGGTGATCTATCGATTTTTATATCTTTAATGTGGACTTATATACTTAATTAACTTTTTTCATTAGGAATATTTTGCTGAGAATTTTGACTGTTTTATAACTTATTTTGGACAGTTACTTTTGAAGTTATGAAAGTTCTAATTAAATTTTTTCATCCTCATCGCTTCTTCTTTTAAGACACTATACAAAAATAATACTTTAGATTTTTAAAATCTATTCCTCGTTATTAATAAAACTGAAATTAACAAGAAGGGCAATTTTAGAATAAATAAACCTTCAATCATCTTGAGCTATATAGTTATTCTCAACTAGTTATCATCAAAATTCCTAGAGTTAGACCATTTCAAAAAACTTGGGTATTTTATAATATTTCACAGTAAATGAAAAACTATAAAAAACGGATCACCTTGTAAAGCAACATTAATAAAATTGAACAAACCTTTGTCAAAAAAAATAGTATCGGTTTTATTTTTGGCAATTGTTCCAATTCTAGTTCATTTTTATCTGAAAATAAATTGGACATTTGTAGAATGGTTTTATCGTAGAAAATTGTTTTTTTTTTAATTTTACCGTTTGATTTAAGTAAATGTATATATATATCTGCATGGCCAACGGGGAGGAATCCGTTGAACTCATCGAATACTAGTTTCTGTAATTCTTTTGACGAGATTGAACCACTTTTATCGGTATCGTGCTTGATAAATATACTTTTCCATTGATCGTCTGTGATTTCATCCAGATTTATATTCTAGAAATTTATGTTTAGTTCATTTTAAGCGAATCCTTTTATCAAGAAAGGGAATGAGTAGAGTTAAAAAGTAAACAAATTTAAAAATCATCGGTTAAAAGCGAAAACATAATTTTTTTTGCACCAGAATCGTTTTATAATTTTTTCCTTTTAAGTACTTAATTTTTTGTTATTGTGGGTACTTAAACCATCCTTATATTTGTCGTACTTGTTAAATTTACTTGCAGTTCATCGTTTAAATCCTAGTATATTCATGAAATGCATTTTTTGAAAATCACTTATTTAAGAAAATAGTATGATGTGTAAAAAAATGTTGAAAAATACGAAAATTAGGATTTTAGTACATAAAAACATTAAAAAATCTAAAAAATGCAAAAAGTTTTTTTTATACATTTAAAACATAAAACAAAATGTGATATTATTTTTTAAATTGTATTGTTTTTATTCTGTGCTTTTGTTAGAATCTCACATTTTACATTAGAAACTTACATTAAAAACTTGTATTCTATTCACCGATAATTCATCATTATTGGTTTAACCAAAAATAATATTATCATATTGTCTTTTAAGGCTAGTAATAGGGACGAGATAAGAAAAAAATAATATTTCTATGCTGCTAAATATTCGTTATGATTGGTGAAAATAAAATAAAATTTTGTATACCTTATTAACTTACAATCAGATTTGTGTATCATTGGAAAAAAACTTTACTTGAATAATTTTGGAAATAATTTTTTGAATAAAAGTTTATGTAAATAATTAAAAAAATAATTATTTCAAACATAATTTTTCGAATAAAATGTTATTAAAATAATTTCAATTTAATTATCAAATAATTTTTTAAAATATTATAAAAAAAAAATATTTATTTATATATATAGGAAGACGATTTTTTATTCAATTTACATTTTATTCTAAAAAGAATTTACACAACTCTGCTTACAATATTATTCATACATTAATCCTAACAATATCAAAAATATGTTACCATCTATATTTTATTATAATAGGTCTCTATGTTACTTTTGGACATATATAATATACTAGCTTTTAAGTATTTATGAATGTTTTGATACATACCCCTGTACTCGTAGAACCATCATCCACTATCTATTTAAAATGTTGGAAAATACAAAAATTAGGTTTATTAGTAAATAAAAATCTAAAAAATGCAAAAAGTTTTATTGTATAAATGTATACAATAAAACTTTTTGCATTAACATAAAACATAAAACAAAATATGATGTTATTTTTTTAATTGTATTGTGTTAATTCTGTGCTTTTGTTAGAATCTCACAACTTACATAAGAAAATCACATTAAAATACTTAAATTAAAAACTTTTATTCTATACATAAGTGTATGGAATAAATAATGCATGTATTTATGAATTTTTAGACTTTAGATACATACCCCTGTACTCGTAGAAACATCATCCACTATCTATTTAATAATAAATTGTAAAAAAAATATTTTGTACAATTTAAGCTTTTTAATATTTCTGAACTTTAGATACATACCACACTAGTAACAGTTTCCACTGTCCCTGCTGGTATCTCTCCACTACTTGCAGTTTCCACTGTCCCTGCTGGTATTTCTCCACCATATGCGGTAATACTTTTTACTATAAAACTCACGACACACACAAGTAGTATAATATTTTTTGAAAACATTGTAATGCAAAATATGTACTTGGCGCGTATGTTGGTAAATGAAAATGTTCTTATTGTTGTGTTGCGTTTCGTTTTACAGCTTTACAAATTTTGTCGTATTTCGTGCAAAAACAAAAATTTGTGAACAACCATCATAAATTATCTTTGAATACATATTCTAAAACAGCTTTTTGCCCCTAATTGTTTTTTCTGACGTAGTTTCAAGTATGTACAACAGTCGTGAAAAACAATCATAAATTATTTTGCAATACAGAAAACAACAGCTATTCTAGCAAGAAGCCTATAAGAAAACACCGTTTTTTGTTTAAGTCGTGCATACAATAATTGTGCTCTGGGTCTGTTTTTCTAGGTTCATACGTCATTGGAAAAGGGCGGGATACATTGGTTGATGGGAATTAATTATTTATTTAAAATATAAGTACATAATTGATAACAACAAATCATTAAAACAACATATTATTGTTTACTAAGAAAATACATTTATTATGACCTTACTAATGCTTTACGCTTGCTTTGAACAGAAAAATAGGTCGGCAATATGTTTTTACTCGGGACGTTAAAATTTTGATATTCACCAAAGCCAGACCCCCCAAACAATAAGTAACATCAAGATTTATTTTATATTATACAATATTTTAATAAAATATTTGATTTATTTCTTAGGCAATACCAATTGTTAATATACTTTTGGAGTTCAAAAGCTGGTAGAAAATTATTGCACATTAAATAATAGTATATTGTGTACTTATGGTCGAAAAATTCGATAACATAAATCAATAAGTGACAAAATTGTCTATCAAATAGATTTGTTATGACCTTACTAATGCTTTACGCTTGCTTTGAACAGAAAAATAGGTCAACAATATGTTTTTACTCGGGACGTCAAAATTTTGAAATTCTCCAAAGACCCCCAAACAATAAGCGACAAAATTAATTTTACCGTGATAATTTATACCGTGATACTCTGACTTGAGGATCTGTATAATAATAAATACAACATTTTGACTTATTTGGTTCTAATAATATCGGAAATATTTTAAATGTTGAAGAAATATTTTGTAAAACGCTAACCAAAATTTTTTTTTTCTAGAGATATATTTTACCCGTCTCTGGTGTTTTTTAGAAATATGAACGGTCTGTTATTATTCAAATAATATTGCCATTTGCGTCATACTTTAATACAACTGTTTCTATAAAGCTTGAATAACATTTGTTAAATATTGTATATTATATCCATTTAAATGTTATTCGACACATAATAGTTTCCAAACTAATTAATTGTAAATATTTTTAAAAAGAAAAACTAAAAATTAAAAATTATTTTAAAACATTTATAATATTATCCATAATATTTTTACTTTTGATATGTAAACCTCTTCCTTACTAAAAAGAAAATTATTCATAATTGGTCGTACTTAAAATATAGGATAATATAGGGACACGAAAAATTTCTAGCGTGAAGAACTAAATAAACAATTGGCTCAACCAAATGATTACAGGAACAAATGTGAATTAGTAATTTCAACTACAAGTTCATTGTGACCCGACTATTACCAGACCGAATAACCAGACTTTTAGTTGGACCTACTATGTATTTTTGGAATATATCTAATTGTCGGCTATCTAATTGTAATATATACCTGTGGATATAGATACATACTACGCACACATATAAATATTAGGGGAGGGGGGGGCGATTGCACCACCTGTACCAGTTTGATTTTTCAATCAAATAATCTAGATTTGACTAATAAGACATACGCATATTCTAAATATATAGAATTTTGTCCATCCGTCATCAAAGATACGTAGAAATTATTAATATACAAAAGTACCTACTATAAAAGTTGCTTTGTGGACAGTATTGTGGCTCACTCTATCAGTAAACTATCATTATCGGTATCGTAAACGTTGACTGTGAACATTATATTGAGAGTTCACTGTATAAAGCAACTTTGTAAAAGACCAAAACGTACAGAAAAAAGTTTTTCAGCCGATTCTCCAACCACGAAAGAGCATTTTCATGTCTCGTCGAATTACCGAATAAATTTCGCCCCCTATCTCCTACTCCCTATCTCTTACCCCATATCCTCTACCCCCTATCTCATATCTCTTACCCCTATTTCATATCTCTTATCCCCGTTTCCACCCCCCCCCCCCATCTCTTACCAGATAACAGCATGATAGCCACACCCAACCACAGACTTTTATACTAACTAGATAAGGTACTCCTATTATCACATGAAGCATCATAAAGAGTACGCGTCATTATTTGGGTTGGCAAAACATTTCATCTTTTTACTATGAAGTGTATTACCGATTACGGCAAATGTCGTACCCACTTAATAAAGGTCTTTACTTATTATTTATTTGTGGTTATTAAACACATATTAAACAAATTATACAGATTCTATGTGATTATAAATTATTTGCCAACCGAAAACATGGTCGCGTGATAAGCTTGACTTCACTACCGCCAATTTAAAACTCCCCGAGTACCTTATCTAGTTAGTATAAAAGTCTGTGCACCCAACCCACATTCCCTTCACCACCCCAACGCCTTTACCACCCCCCAACCCCATCTCCGTGTCGAAAACGGTTTTTCTAAACACTTTTTCGGTTATGTGCCAGAGCTAAGACATGAAGATGTCAAAAACCTCTAACGCTGAAGTTTATTTATTTTAAGAAGAAAGGAAATAGTTACTTTTTTCGAAGGAGTACTATATCAGAAAACCACCTGCAAGATGATCATTGTGTCTCGTCGGAGTATTCTTGACCTTTAAAGGATCAATACTTGTAAACCTTTTAGGTTATTAACATAATATTAGGTGATAAAGTAAAGAAAATGACTAATTTGTATGCAACTAAGTATGAAAGAAAACTTTTAACACGAATATTTTATTACATGTATTATATTTATTAAATCTTCAGCATGTACACAAATTAATTAAATAACCGATTGATTATTGACAACCGTTTAATCCTATTTAGGTAAGTGTATTCTTTTTATATTATTTTGAGAAATAATTTGTAATATCTGAAACAAGTATACATTTTTAAAACATGGTTTCGGCTTGCATAAACATAAACTATTCTAAAAATTTTACAAACTATTGATATTCTGTAAAACTGTTATAATTTTCAATGAATAAATATTCTCTTGAGTCGAGAGTAGAGTTTAGTTATAAAAGTTCATATTTGATTCTTTGAACTGCTTATAATCATTATTCATTACCAGCATATATTCATAAAACTCGATCAAACCGTCGCCTGGAAAAATGTTAACGTTAATTAATAATAATTTCACTACAATGTTGTTCTTAAGTATTTACCGTTTATATCCCCCTCCATGATCATTTTAGTGACTGATTTTTTGGCTTTAATGGCTGATTCCTCAGAGTCTAATTCTTCAATGGCCTTGTCTGAATCAATTTCGCTCAATGCTTTAACAAGTTCATCAACGCCAATAAAGCCATCATGGTCTTCGTCAATTATACAAAATCCCTTGTATATATTTGCCACCTAGAAATGTTAAAAAACACAATATTTTTTTTAAATATTTATATTTTTTGATAAGCTATAAGATTCCCTTCTGTTTATTCTGTAGTAATATGATCACTCATACTGAAGTACTTAACTAAAAATAATATTAAAATAATTACTACTAACCGCTACCGTATCCGCAAACATTTTTAATATTTCCTCGACCCTCGTCCATTTTATTGGCCATTTTACTGTAAACCGTTTGTGAATAATTAAAAGAAAATTCAATAGGTAGTTAAGATGTTTACTACCGTTTTTACCATTAAGATCTAGTAATTCTGAAATTCCTTCCCCGTCTGGGAACAGTATTTTAGCATCTGTATTTCTCTTTATTACTTCCACGAAAGATTCACTCGAAAAAGTGTCATTTTCGTTGACGTTTTCATTCTCCACAAAACTTTCTTTCTAAAATGAAATAAAAGAAACGCATATTAAGTCAATTTAATAATGACGTTTTTGTATAAGGCTTAGATGCAACAAATACACTAATAACTTGTATACTTAAATAATTTTTTTAATTGGAACAAAATTGCTGAGGATTTTGTCTGGTCTATAACTAGTTTTGGACAATTACTTTCGAAGTTAAAAAAATTCTAATACTTTAAACCTCATTATCCTCATCTTTCCTTCTTTTAAGTTACTATACAAAAAAAATACTTAAGATTTTTAAAGTCTATTTCTCGTTATTAATAAAACAAAGTTTCAAGTTTTAAATCGTCAATGATCAAAACATAATATAGATTTTGTTTTGTATTTGATGAAAGGTTCAACTTATAATTTGGTTGAAGTAACCAATTTAATAAGAAGGAAATTCTAGAGTGAAAAAACTTTTAAACATCTTGAGCTACTTATTCTTACCTAAAAATGTTAGTTTGGTTATCATTAAAAATTTTAAAGTTTGTAGACCTTCTGGAAAATTTTAAAACTTGAGTAATTTATAATATTTTACAGTAATATAAATAAATGTTTTTTAAAAAGGAAAAATTATGGAAAATGGATCACCCTGTATAGTAATAATAATAAAACTGAACAAACCATTGTCAAAAAAAATATTATCGGTGACCATTTTTTCAACTGTTCCAAATTTATATTTGTATTATCTGAAAATAATTATGACATATGTAGAGTGATTTTATCGTAGAACATTGTTTTATATTTAATATTACCATTTAAATTAATTTTCTTTGTATATATATCTGCATGGTCAACGGGGAGAAATCCGTTGAACTCATCGAATACTAGTTTCTGTAATTCTTTTGAAGAGATTAAACCACTTTTATCGGTATCGTGCTTGATAAATATACTTTTCCATTGATCGTCTGTGATTTCATCTAGATTTATATTCTAGAAAATTATGTACAGTCATTTTATTGAATCTTTTTATCAAGAAAGGGAATAAGTAGAGTTAAAAAGTAATCAAATTTAAAAATCATCGGTTAAAAGCGAAAACATAATTTTTTTGCACTAGAAACGTTTTATAATTTTTTCCTTTTAAGTACTTATTTTTTTTGTTATTGGGGGTACTTAAACCATCCTTATATTGTCGTACTTGTTAAATTTACTTGCAGTTCATCGTTTACATCCTAGTATATTACATGAAATGCATTTTTTGAAAATCACTTATTTAAGAAAATAGTACTAAAACATTTTGGGAAACAAGAAAATCGGGTTTATACTAAAAAAAAAAAAATCTAAAGAATCCAAAAACTGTTTCTTTTTTACATTTAAAACATAAAAATATGCAGTTTTTCAGATTTTTATGTGTTTATTTTGTGTTTGATAATTCAAAGCATAATTATTTAAATAAAAAGATATTCAATTAGTTTTTATTTTTATTATTCGAATAATTTTTAAAAATATTATTTAAATAGTTTGTATTTTAAAACATTATTTCTTATAAAACTAATATATACTACATTTATAAAATATTTAAAATACACATATTCTATATGGGAGGACAATATTTTATTCGAATAAATTGTTAACAAATTTTTCAAATAATTTCTAAAATAATTATTCGAATAACATTTTGTTCGAATAGCGTATTATTCGAATAAGAATCTTAACAACCTTTTTAGAAAATATGTTATCGTATGTATTTCATTGCAATCGATTTTTATGGTATTTTGACCATGTATAGCTTTTAAATATTCCTAAATGTTTAGATACATACCACCGTACTCGTAGAATCTTCATCCTCTTTTCGCTAATGATAAATTATAAAACAATTATTTTGTATACTATAAGCTTTTAAATATATTATCTGAACTTTAATACATACCACACTAGTAGCAGTTTCCACTAACTCTACTGGTATAGCTCTACTAACTTCGGTACTACTTTTGTCTATACAACACACGGCGCACAAAAGTAGTATAATATTAATTTTTGATAACATTGTATTTTAAAATGTATGTACTTGGTGCGTATGAGACCTGTTGCCAAATGAAAATGTTCTTATTGTTGTTCTGCGTTTCGTTTTACAGCTTTATATTTTTTACGTATTTCGAGTAAAAACATAAATTGTAAACAACCATCATAAATTATCTTCTATTCTAAAACAGCTTTTTCGCAACAAATTTTATTTTTTCAGACGTAGTTTCAAGTACGTACAAACAGTCGTGAAAAACAATCATAAATTATCTTACGATATAGAAAACAACAGCTATTCAAGCAAGTAGCCTTTAAGAAAACAGCGTTTTTTTGTTTAAGTATTGAACGTCATACATGCGTGTTCTGGGTCTGTTTTTCTATGTTTACACGTTATTGGAAAATGACATAATACATTGCGCAAAGAGAATTAATATTTATTTAAAATATAAGCACACAAATGATAACAACAAATCATAAGAACAACATACTATTGTTTACTATGAAAATATATTTATTATGTTCTTACTAATCCTTTACATTTTCGACAATATTTTACTGCTCGAGACGTTAAATTAAAAAAAAAAAAAAATTCATCAAAGCCAGACCCCACAAACAATAAGCGATATCAATGTTTTTGTTTTATATTCTACAATATTTTAATTAAATATTTGATTTATTCCCTAAGCAATACCAATTGTTAATATACTTATGGAGTTTAAAATTATTGCACATTAAATAATGGTGTACTGTTTACTTTATGACCTAAAATTCCAAAAACATAAATCAACACTAGTGAACAAATTCTATCAAATATTAGAAATACTAAAAACCCACATTACATTATAAAAATTCAGTGTATTAACAAACTCAGGGTTTCTTAAATATAATTGAAATAATTATTTTACACTTTTTTGTAAGCAACGTAATAATACAACCTTATATAATAGAAGTTTTAACTGGAGTTTGATTATTAGTGACTAGAGTTTTTGACGCTGTTTAAATTGTTTTAAAATAATAGACTGTAATTTGCGTAAATACTTACAAGGAAATCTCAAACAAAATATTTATAAAAAATGTGTTTATAAAATGATTATATACTTGGTTTTGTACAGATAAAGCTTAGGTCATATACATTTTTAAACCTCGCTGTGATATTATCACAATCAAACGCTTTGATGCGAATATGGAAATAGTAAGAATTCATCAAAGTTTTAACCACCAAAGTCCAAACAAAGCACAATCAAAACCAGCACAGTCTAAATCAAGCACAGTCAAAACGAACTCTTAGGCGAAGAAGTAGGATGATATTTTGATCTGAGAACAGTGTTTTTAAAAAAAGCGCATGCCTTTTAAATGATTTTATAAAAATGTCCATTCGATCAGAACTAAGGTTCACCAATTGATAGTAAATAAAATTAAAAGATAAAAAGAATGCAATCATTTTTTTTTTTGGGACGGGGTGGTCTCTATTTTTAAGAGTGAAAAAGTAAAATTATTCTAATTCCACACCCCCCTCCCAACAAAGCGCTAACTAGACACAATTATTACTGGTAGATACTTGTTGATCAAGATATCAATCTGAAGGTTTTAAAGTTAAATCTGTTTATGAAGTGAAACTTAAAAGATTGAATGTTATACATAGCAACTTGGCCCTTGAACAAGTACAGAGAAATGTTAACTATAGTGTATAACTATATTATTATCAACGCTAGTATTTTTGGATACAACTTGATACGAGTTGAAAAACAATCCAAATGACAAACACCTAATTGTTTTTAAAAAATACTTGAATATCCTACAAAAATACTTTTTTTAAACAGTAACTAATTATATTGTTAAATACACTTTAAATTTAATATTTTTGTTTTTAAAAAAAATTAGATAACAAAAAATAATTGTTTTTAATTTTTGATTGCTACAATAACACGATACGATCAAGAATTAATAGTTACATAAATATTAAGTTATTGATTAAACTACAAATTTTTACTTATGTACGAATAGCAGATTACAAACAGACATTAATTTTATTAACATTGGTACTCGATTTAAGTATTGGAAAAAAATAATTTTTTGAATATTAACATTCTCATTTCTTCGTGAAAATAAGTTTTATAAGAATAAGACCTTAACGAATCATCCTTTTTAAATAGAGTATAAATTTATCAAACTTAAATCAAAACAAAAATTTGTCAACACAGAGAAACGGCAGTGGTCTTCCACGAAGCCTAGGTGTTAGACGTGACTGCTGAATGCCGTGTCAGTGGTGGAAGCCCAAGAAGGCAGGGGGCACTTCACCCCTCTCCACCCTTTATTTGGTAAGTATATTTTATTTATTATATTTATGACGAGCAAACGAAAAACGGTTTTGTATAAGCGGAACTAGACTTTCACATTAGGGTGGGTCCATAAGAATACGACACCTGATTGGGGCTTTGTCCATAGGCACAACAGACCTAAGGGGTACTAAAATTATGTATACCTGACCAATACTTCTTATCTTAAACCCATTAGATATAAAATAAAATATTTGGAAACAAAAATATTCTAAAATAAAAATTTGAACAAAGTATGTAGGTACATTATTAAAATTTGATGCGTACAAATCAAGAATTGGAATTTGAATTTTTGAAGATGTTAGTTTTAAACCGATAATTTTGCTACACCTATCTATAAAATGAAAATTGTTTGTGGTTAAACATATTAAGAGTTTTAGAGTTAAACAAATATTATCGGGTTGCTTCTTCCCTCCTCACTTTAAAAAAAATATCAAGTCATCATTTGTGTGTATTGTTCAATCAACTTTTTGTTTGGGTATGACCCTTAAAAAAGAGTCTGTTTATAAAAATCACTCGGATGGGTGTATTTACTCTATCCCCTTGGAGGGGGGGGGGGATAGAATAAAAAAAATGTATGTATGACATCACATAAGCATACAAATTATTGATCACTACATTTCTATTATTGTATGTGGTCTGGTTTTTGAACGTTTTAGACCTAAAAACTAGATAAAATTACCTCTACTTAGTAAGATCCTATTTCAATTCTATAAATATATATTCGACTTGTTTAGCAACTTTACTGGGTTATGTAGGATACAGATTTTTGTTTTTTGCTATTTTTATAAAAAAAAATTGGGTTTAAGTATTAAAAAAATGGCAAATATAATTGATTTATTTCCAAGAACTAAACATTTAAAATAAAAATCGGCTTCTTACATAACGTGGAAAATTAGCCAAAGAACTCGATCTCTTTACAGAATTAAAATTGGACCATCATCATATAATATAGTCGAAATTTAGTCTGACTTTTTGGTCTAAAATAAACCAAAATGGCTTTTACCCATAAAAAAGATTATTTAAAATAAAAATAATACCCTAAAACTTATACAAATTAACCGGTAAATTAATTGACATGGTCTAAATTTATTAAAACCTATTTTTCTCAAAGATTGCCTATACAAAACTCCTTAGAAACAGAACGCATGCAATTCGTTTAACGAAGATGATTAGTTAGTTATTAGTAGATATAGATACATACTACATACACAAATAAATATCCAGAGGGTGATTGCCCCCCTCCTATACCAGTTTGATTATTTCAACAAATACTTTAAATTTGACTAAGAAAACAAGTACATATGCTAAATCTATAGAATTGTATCCACTAGTCATTAAAGATAGGTAAATATAAAAGTACAAAAGTACTATTATAGTTGCTTTGCAGACAGTCTTGTGGCGCACTCTATCAGTAAACTGACAGTATTGGATTCGTTATTGTTAAATATCTCTTGCCATTGCACGGTTTCGAAGTCATTCAGACTTGGATTTGTATTCTAGAATATTTAAACATCGAGTAGAAAAATGTATTTATTATTTGAATCAGTTACATAATCAAGGCAATCATAACATTGATGTAAAAGTGTCGAATAAAAGAAAGATGTGCCGCTTAGAGGAAAACGATAACTGTGAACATGTTATTGAGAGTTCACTGTACAAAGCAACTTTGTAAAGGACAAAAACTTACAGAAAAAAACTCTAACGCTGAAGATAACTCATTAAAAGAAGGAAGTAGAAGCAAACAGTAAAACCGTTAATTAGTATAAAGACACAATTATGGTGAATGATAACGCAAAGTTGGATTGGGATTTTCCACGAGATGTCCATGTGGGAGAACCAACATAAACTGATTTCTGCAATATTCCATACAGACTTTATCATATAAAATTGCTTTCGATATTCAAGTTAAAAAAAACATAGAATTATTTTTAAGTAGGTAACTAATAAATTCATAATATATTAATATTATTTAATATTAGGTTTTATTATAAACTTTTTAGGTTATTAACATAATATAAGGTAATAAGGTAAAGCAAAGGACTAATATGTATGCATCAAAGTATAATGGACAAATTAAAAATATGCAAGCGAATATTTTAATACATTTATTATAATTATTTAATCTTCAGCAATTGTACAAATTATTTATTTGAATTTTAAACAAATATACATTTTTAATATTTGTATTTGGTTTTCCAAAAATCAAAAATGACTATAACTTTAAAAATGTTTAGCATAAAAACTGTTATATTTTTCAATAAATATTATTATCTTGAGTCGAGAGTAGAGTTTAGTCATGAGGGTACATCTCCGGTTCTCCGAACAGCTTATAATCATTAACCATTATTAGCATGTATTCATAAAAATTAATCAAACCGTCGCCTGGAAAAATGTTAATGTTAACTTATAATAATTACCACTACAATGTTGTTCAAAAGTATTTACCGTTTAAATCCCCATCTATGATCATTTTAGTGACCGATGCTTTAATGGCTGCTTGCTCAGTGACTAAATCTTCTAAGTCTGATTCATCTGAGGAAATTCTTGAATCATTGCCGATCCATGCTTTAATCAGGTCATTAACTTTTATAACGCCATTTTCGTCCTTGTCAATTATGCAAAAATCCTTGTACATACGTGCCGTCTATACATTTTAAGAAACACATTATATATTATGTTTTAAAACAAAATGCGTAATCATTATTTGTTTAAATATGTAATTTACACGCGAATCTACTCTATGTACTACTACTAATAATATT